TCTTAAGGAACGAACCATTCAATTTCAAAACTTCGGCAATGCAAGAATTATCTCGCCAAAAGGATCGTAGAAATTTGTAGCGCTTTCGTACTCTCGCGAAATAATGGCATTCTGGAAGAAGCTGAACACAAAAATGATTTGAATTAATTGAATTTATCTACATATACCACTACATAACACCTGCCCTACCTTATTGGAACATCACCTTCAACATTATTTTCTTTCGTAAATAACAGAAATTTTTTGAAGGTTTAGCGCCTCATCGTGGCTGGGAGGTGTTCCTGGGTGTAGGACTGCGATATACAGCAGGGGGATTTGTCTCCACAGCAGGGTCTCCCAAGCTGAGAAAGATCACAGCGTTTCCATCAGAAAGCTCAGCTAAGAGTAAACCAATACCAGGATCCACTACAGTCCTGGCATCAAAGTCGCATGGTGCCAAATCACCCTCAGATCCACAAGGGCCTGTCGTGGTGAATACCTAGAGCAGACTTTTGCTAGGCTGACCTCAGGATTCCAGGAAGCTGCAATGGCTCAACTAACAGATCTCCGAAAAATGGTAAATAGGCTAGGGCCGCACAACCAGTGAGCACGAACCGTTTAAGTACCAAGTATCGAGTAAAAACAGAAAAGTGCTAGCTGATTATTAAAAAAAAGCCCTTGTGTTGCTTTGCGTTCTTGAAATATTGCGAAAATGACGATTTCATGATGTGTCAGCAGTTGAAATATCAATACATTAAATGGTTACAAGTCTACAGTATAGCGGACCAACTGAGAGCAGTCATTCTGTACGAGCAAAGCCGTTGTTTGACCCACTCTAGGTTCACCAAGCCTCTCAATCGACTGGGATCGGGAAATTGACACAGGAGTCGCCTAAACTCTACCAGAGGTCATGTGGAAGACTAAATTTTACAAATTACTCTCCATTTCGTTGAGTGACGGGTACTGAAGCAAGGTGATCTGCTATGCGCATTGATGGATCGGTCGTTGGCTTGATCCCTTGCCCATGGGTATATAGAGATATTCATCACTCGGCGATAGGTGAACTGATACCAGACCTGAATGGGAAGACAAAAACAAACTTGATTTGAAAAACCTTAAGTTTACATATTGGTAAGTCACTGCAAATTATCGTGTAATATTGTGGTCGAATGCGCTGTGCATCTCCCAGAAATTGATCAACGCTGAACGTTTTACAATATATTCTCTACTTCGTGCAGTGTACCCCATATGTTTTTATGTCATGAACGCTCATCGTGCCATTCGCTCCGTATTCTTTATCCACTACGTGTGACATTTAGATTGCGCTAGATTATGGATATCATTGATCGGTAACATCCGTTGGTCACTATGAATCTATTGCAATCTCTACGTTTCCCATAGTAACCCCACCGGCCAAGTAGTGGAGCCTTTGAACAAACCTTGTCAATCAACTTGACGTACGTTTGTGTGGTCGCATCAAACGCTAACCAATCCAGGTGGCATAAAAAGATCGCACTCAGCTCGTAAAACGCTGGTTGGGAATGGTCCACATTGCTTGCTTGAAACGAACTCCACGCACTGCAGTCAGTGCAGTGTTCCACTAACTGTTTCATTTTTAAATAACCCACAACTCTTGCCCATGCACCTATCATACCGAAATAACACTCAAACTTCTCACAGTTTTCAGCACCACTAGTTCTGTTATTCTGAGGTATTTAGAAAACCCCCGCTGCCCATTTGCCTCACTCTGAAATAACTAACCACCACTGCTCCTGCTTTGCTTAGCCTTAAAGAGCTCACCACCTTTATCTTGCTCTTCTCAATTTGTTTTCGTTTCCATGTTCGAAATCGCGTCAATCATGGGATAACTTCAACAGACATCAGTGACCTCCGTTAACCCTGTCGCGCGTTGAAGTTGCTAGGTTTACCCAACCTACTCTCGAGAGACGAAAGGCCTCGTATTTTTGCAATACTGCGCTACTTTCACCATTTTTTTACGATAGGTTATTCGAGTAGTTGGCGATGCTTTCCCATGATATAAGATGTGTATTCTTACCTGAGATTTTCAGTACGAGTGTCGTGCTTCTTTTTTGATGTGGAAGACTTAACTAGTACTATTGCTGCATTATTAACCAACGTTACACCCCTTTTCTTATTGACATGAATCGTAGATATTATTCTTTATTTTCCTCTATATTCACCAATCAAGCATCATATGTGTAGGTTTACCTACCGAAATTTCTCTTTGACACAGCTGAGATGCAAACTCGTGTAGGTCACCATATCTAAGGCTTTCTCTCACTGCTCAGTCAACACATGGCACATCGGCAAAGAAGATTGGATTTTGACCCGGACCTCATTTCCATTACCACTAAGGGGTTGCTAAAGAACAATACTAAAGTTTGATCCTAATGCAACACCCCTAGCACAGCTGATAATAAATGCCAACTCTAGAAGATATTTTCGGGAGGATTTCCATCAGAGCAGGCAGAAAAAGTTGATGGAAGTAGCTTAAAAAAAACGTCGTCTGAAAAAGTGGCGGTTACCTTTGCGACTACAGTGTTCCGCTATAAGACCTGATGAAGAAAGATGGGACTATTGTCACAACCTTCCATGATATGGAATTGGTACTCGATTTCCCGACTTAGTACTGGAAAACATCATTCGATGAAAAGCCATGGAGCTCCGCCCTCTGATGTTCGAGTTGCGATGGAACTCATGAAAAGGGAAGCAGCTCTAGGACCTCAGAGCATCACCGCTGGTTTTTTCAGAGCTAGTGGCCACAGATGACACATACTGCTCGCAAATTACATGACATCTTACATTTAGAAGGCTATTCGCACACTGCTTGAAGGCAGCATTGTAGATATCGTTCGTAATGGTGTTTTGTTGCTTCTAATAATCAAATTGTTTAGGCTCGCAGGCGAGTACATCTCACGACAGTAGCGCTTCGGTTCGTGTCAAATCCACCTGCATATTACCGCTCTACACCATACTCGTAATCAATCTAGCCAGAACAAGTAAACTTTGTTCATTACGTGCACGCATACATGAATGCGTACACAGCTATAAGCGCTTTAGTGAGAAGTATGCTACTAAGTGAAGCGATCCTCATCGATAAATCAAAGCTCTGATGAAGTAGTTTATTCCGTAGGCAACCACAGCTAAATAATGATTATTCGGTCACTTGCAGAAACAAATGATGCGTAAGAAGGCGACCACGACTGTTGCGACGTTTCAAACCCTGCAGCAAGTATTCTGATATGCATAAATATATTTATTTGAGTTACGTTTCAGAAAGTTTGTGGAAGACTACGTAATTTCTAAATTTGTGATTCTTTATGTTGCTTTACTACAAGATTTTTCCCGTTTCCTTTAGGATTTATGGGTACCATTCGTTTCCCGGAAACATTGATCAACGACTCAAAACGTCTAAATTTTCCCAATAAGAATTTACCGTATTGTACGATAAAAAATTCGAGTTTATTAAGTTATTATTACCTGCATCGTAACACCATTTACCATTGCCGAGTAGAAACCGGAGTCTGTTGCCACGACGGGATTAAGAATCATCTTACCGTCTCCATCAATAAGTACATAAGACGGGGGAGTAGCCGGCTTACCGTCCTGGAAAACCATACTGATGGAGCACATACATTGAGAAAGCGAAATCAATCAGTGCAGACGTTGTTTACACTGCCCAGATCGGATAAGTGAGTCGGAACAGATTAGATATATAGTTCATCGATAGAATGACATCCGCCGTAATTCTGTGAAAAAACAAGCTGGTTCGATTTTTACTGCAAAAGACGACTAGGTGATTTCTTGAATGAAAATTGCCCCACCCTCCTAACGAATCCTTGACAAATTGCTCTGGTGTCACCATATTGGCAGCGCGTCATCATTTCCTTTATTCCGTTCATGCGATCACGTTGCCAAAAATACACACGTGGTCCGAAGTCCAGAACAACTCGATCACCAGCCTAAAGAAAGCATTTCGAAACAATCCGAAAAAAGGATGGTTGCAGATTTAGAGTTGTGTCAATTTAACGTACTTTCGCTCTGATTGCTACTCTTGCGAACGCATAATCAATCAATACGAGAACAAGAAAGCTTTGCGTCCGTGCCATCGTTGATGAACGTTGATGAAATAGTACGTGGCGTAACCTTAAATCCACAGCGACGGCTAAAACCAGGATAGGAATTTTGGAAAAAAAAGCCAAGTACTTTAAAGGTGTGATAAAGAATCTCAAGAAGTCAAGAAACCACTCTCAAACCCTGCCACAAATGTGGCTCTTTGAGGACTCGTAACGTCTTTGTCAAGGGTTCGAAGTGAATGAGTTATGGAACGAATGATTAGAAAAGCATGTGGTATGTATTAAGTACGATAAAGAAAAAAAGCACTGTTGTTCAAAAGTGGAATGCTATGGGAAGGCAGGAATTAACCCAAAAGAGAAATACGAACCAAAAGAAATGCCGCTCAACTGGGGTGTACAAGCAACATTAATTCGTTTATATAGCGGTCGTTTCTTATCCTCTACTTACGTTTGTTATGATACGGCACAACAAACGCGTTGGTGATGTTGGATAACATGTGCTGAAAACAAATGGGTTGATTCCTTTCATTGCATACTACAGCTGGCAGACACGGGAAACAGTACCGGTTTAGCCGACCACCTCTCTGAGGAGTGATCTTCCGAGAGGAAGCAGATCTAAAGCGCAGCAAAGCGTACATCCATAGGTTCTAATTAAAGTTTCTACTTTCTTAATACCACATGAAGTGGCAACGATCTGGTTTTCACAGCGGGATTATTCTTATTAAAGAAAAAACTACATTATCCAAAACAGTAGAGGTGTGAACGAGTTTGATTGAATCGCAAAATCACCTTCAAAAAAAGGCAATTCTCTGGAAGAGTTTTCTCATCAGCCATGTAAATAATTTTTACTATTCGACAAAAGTTGTTACAAGGGCAAAGATTTCTCTCGTATTTTTCTTATCCATCCTCATGTTAGCTTAACAATCGGAGAATTTGCCTCCTAGCCACGCCGGTCCCACTGCAGTCTGAACCACTTATATCGCCAAAATCATAACAGGATCACTGAAATAAGACGCATTTTGAGTGGAACCTCTCTCCTTGAAACAACTTTTGTCGACTAGAAAATTGTTTACATGAGTGATGAGAAAACCAATCTTTCAGAGCTGTTCAGACGATGTAGTAGCTGTACATGGGAACTCTATCAAATTCTGATCGCAATGGCCCCATATACCACAGCTCAGTGCTCATCCAGAGAATTGCCTTTTTTTGAAGGTGATTTTGCGATTCAATCAAACTCGTTCACACCTCTACTGTTTTGGATAATGTA